ATTATGAGGAACGCAAGCATAGATGGTGCCAATCACACAAAATAAAGGAAGGCAATATTAGCATATTAGCAAAGGATCGAACAGCTTGATGAATCCGTGAAAGAAGTTGATTAAAAGTTGTTTGAGTTTGTAACTAAAATGTATGAGTCATAGAGGCAGGCTCATCAGCAATTCGAACAAATTGTGGAGCTACTATGCAGTAATTTGAGAGAATCATAGACAAACGCTCAGGTAAGTCCCTAAAAACCAAATAATACTTTAGATAAGGGTTTATTGCCTACACTAAAGGTGTATGAGGCTGGGGAAAGCAGTAACAGAGGTCACACAAGGAATTCTAGTAATAATCCTGCGCTGCCTGAGGTTGAGATACCTGTGTCTGGAGGTGTAAACTCTAGGCCTAGATTAGGCGATGCATTAAATATTTCTTCTTAAATGGAACTCCAAATGAGAAGAGAGTGCAAATTGTTATGCTATTTTTAGGAGAAATTATTGATATATGGGCCCAAAGGTGGTTGTCTAAGAATGAAAGCTTGGATTGAGATTTGTTTGTGAAAGAATTATGTACAAGATTTTGAAGAGCTGCTCGTAAAGATCTCATAGAAGAATTCAATAAATTGGTTCTAGTAGGGACAGTGTTGGAGTACTGAGAACAAATTTAGCAACTGAGGACTAGAATGGTAACTAATAATCCCATACTATCTGAGAGATTCATATCCAGCTTTATTAATGGGTTGAAGGAGGAATTACAACCAATGATTAGATTGTTGAAGCCTTAAAAATTGGACCAAGCCTTTGAGCAGACTCTACTTCACGAACAATCAATCATTAAGATGGCTAGATTCACTAGGAGGAATAAATTTTTCGCTCCTCAGAGGTGGAATCCTAGGAGTAATTAGTCGCATTCTAAGGAAAAGGGAAGACCTCCACTCTTTTTCCTAAGAAATAATTCAAAAGAGATAGAGGTTAAAAAAGCCTCCAATTTTTGCTATAGATCAATGATGGAATTGTGTTTTGTGTAACAAGGACCAAAGTGCAAGGTAAGGAGAAATTTACCGTTATGCTTGTTTTCAAAAGAATGAAATTGAGCAGTAAGTGAAAAATATGCTAGCAAATTATCTTGTACAGCTAAGTAACAATCCTTTTGCCTCGCCGGTCCTACTAATTAAAAAGAATGATGAAACATGGAGGTTTTATGTGGATTACCATTAATTGAACTTTTTCATAGTTAAGAACAAGGTCCCGATCCCAATTGTTGTTGATTTACTGGACAAATTGAGCGAGGCTTTGATATTCTTCAAGATAGATCTAAGGGCGGGATATTACTAAATAAGAGTGAAAGAGAAGGATATCCACAAAATTGCCTTTGGGACACACCATGATCATTATGAGTTTAAGGCGGTGCCCTTTAGCTTAATCAATGCACCACCACATTCCAAGCTTTAATGAACCATGTCTTCCACGAATACTTGTGCAAGCGTGTACTAGTATTCCTCGACGACATATTAATCTATGGTATGACTGAAGAAGAGCATTTGAACAACTGGAAAAGCTATTGACTGTCTTGAGGTCCCAAAATTTATTAGCCAAGAAAACCAAAGTGTTCCTTTTTACATGTGGAAATTGAATACTTACAACACTTGATTCTTGCACAAAGGGTCAAAACAGATTCGAAGAAGATAGGATCGATGCTCAATTGGCCACAACTTAAAACAGTAAAGCTGTTGAGAGGTTTTCTGGGACTAACATGCTATTACATTTCTGCAAGGTCATCAGACACTGTGGAATAATAAGCAAACATATTAATCTATGGTATGACTGAAGAAGAGCATTTGAACAATTGGAAAAGCTATTGACTGTCTTGAGGTCCCAAAATTTATTAGCCAAGAAAACCAAAGTGTTCTTTTTTACATGTGGAAATTGAATACTTACAACACTTGATTCTTGCACAAAGGGTCAAAACAGATTCGAAGAAGATAGGATCTATGCTCAATTGGCCACAACTTAAAACAGTAAAGCTGTTGAGAGGTTTTCTGGGACTAACATGCTATTACATTACTGGAAGGTCATCAGACACTGTGGAATAATAAGCAAACCGCTGACAGACTTGCTTAAAAAGAATGCATTTATTTAGAATGTGGATGTTGCAGAAGCATCCCAAACCCTAAAGGAAGCAGTGGTGACTCGTCCAATTTTGAGGCTTCCAAATTTCTCTAAGCCCATCAGAGTGGAAATAGATGCAAGTGGAACTATAATTGGTTAGCTGTGTTGATGCAGAAGAGAGATTGATTGCCTTTATTAGTAAATCTTTAAACATTTGCAATCAGGACAAATCAGTGTATGGAAAAGAATGGTCGGCGGTCCTATATCTTGTGCCCAAGTGGCGTCACTACTTCAAGGGAGCTTTGTTCATGATTAAACTGACCAGAGAAGTCTCAAATACCTCCTGAAGCAGAGGGTTATTTCCATGATGCAGCAAAGAAGGATGCCGAAACTGTTAGGCTTAAATTATTCCATTCAGCACAAAAAAAGGGTCTGAGAACCGAGTAGCAAATTCCCTATCCAGGCAGTTGGAGGATGGGAATGCAGCTGAACTGCAAGCTGTAGTGTTGACAGCAACTCCATCCTGGTTGACCGAGGTGTGGGACTGTTATAAGCAACTCCATTCCTTCTTGCATAATTTATTATAAGATTTACTTCTCGTGTCCACGAGCAAACCCTCTTTATGCTTAAAGTATGGTATTCTGAGGTGGAAAGATAGGGTCATGATAGGATCCAGTACGGCCTCAAGGAAAAAAACCATTCAACAATGTCATAACTCAGTGTTGTTTGGGGCGGGGGAGGGGAGAGCATTCTGGCATTAAGGCGGCCTATCAACATCTTAAGCATCGGAAAAAAACCATGCAACAATGTCATAACTCTGCATTGTTGGGGGGGAGGGGGACCAGAGAGCATTCTGGCATTAAGGCAACCCATGAAAGTCTTTTTTTGAAATAGTTCTACTGGCAAGGGGCAAACCAGCAGCTTATGGAATGGATATAGTGTTGTGAGGTTTGCCAGCATCGCAAAACGAGGGAAGTATCTCCGCAACGAATATTATAGCCACTCACTGTTCCCACCTAGGCTTGGATGTATGTCTATTTGGTTTTCACAAAACAATCGCCTAAGTCGGAGGAAAAAAAGATACCATTTTAGTGGTTGTTGACCGTTTTACCAAATAGGGTCACTTTATGGCCCTAAAGCATCCCTTCACTGACCAAAAGGTTGCTCGAATTTACCTAGAAAATGTTCATCAACTTCACTGGATTTCCGAGTTGTTAGTATTAGATCAAATAAAATCATCACAAGCATATTTTGGAGGGAATTAATGATACTTTCAGTGATACCCCTGCATTTCAGTTTGGCATACCATCTGCAAACAGATGGTCAAACTGAATGCTTGAACCAATGCTTGGAAATGATTTTGAGATGTATGGCTCATTAGAAGCCCAAGGATCGGACTAAGTGTTTGATACTAGCAAAATGGTGGCGTAACACAACCAACATTCTAGTTTAAAGATGACTCTTTTTCAGGGATAGTAAGGTTATGCTCCTCAGTGTTTCTTGGGTATCATAGATATCCAAACCCCACCTCAAGCAATGGAAGAGTTTTTATGGAAATACAGCAAATGAGTGAGGAGATACGGCAACAATTACTTAAGACTCAACAGAGAATCAAGCAATTTGCAGATAGAAATCGCAGAGAGAGGCATTTAAATGAACGTGAACTAGTGTTATGGAAGTTGTAACTTTTTCAACAAGGCTCAATGCAAAAGGGAAATGCATCCAAGCTATCTCCTTGCTTCTATGAGCTTTTTGAGATTTTGTAGAAGATTGGAGAGGCTGCTTATGAGCTGAAAATGTCGGGACTTCTCGAATTCACCAGTATTTCTTGTGTCACAATTAAATGTGTCAGGGAAGAAGATCTATTTTGAAGAACTTCCTACTGTGGATTCAGAAGGGATTGTTGTGTTAACTTCCGTAGAATTTTGCAAAGTACGAAAGTTATCAGGAATGGGAAAGAAGCAGAATAAGTACCGGTAATGGCTTGGAAGCAATGCAATGATTGTACTTGGGAAAAACATGAGTTTTTTCATCAGCAATTTCCACATCTCAGACTTGGGGACAAGGTCGCTATTCGAGGGACAGTGTTGTTAGTGCCAATAGTAAACTATTAAAAGTTTATCTGAGACGTAAGGTTGTGTTGTGAAGTTAGAGCATGTGCATCCATGGTATAATGTGTTTACCATTGCATACAAGGAATAAATGAAGGCCTAGCAATCTATATCCAATTAACATATTATGATTCTAAATTCAACACTATAAATAGGTTGATCTTGGATGGAAGTAGGTTGTAATCTCATATTCAAAAAATACTAAAAACAATTTATCTCCAAATCCTCTCAATCTCCTTCTCAACTCCCTCTCTCTCGAATCTCTCTTGCTTGTCTATATCTCTCTCTAGTCTTGCTATCTTTTCTCTATTCTGACGAACCTAATGTACAGAGCTCTTGATATACGGATTTGTATATACTCATGTTTGAGAAAGTGGTTTTTTTTTCTTCACTTTCTTTGAACAAACAGGAGCTAAGGAATTGGGAGCAATATTCTTTGCTTTTTTGTTTCCGCACCAACCTTTTTTCTTAGAAAAAGGTTGTTTCAAGAGAAGGAAGAAGGAAATAGGTAAAAGGTAAGTTGAGCACGTGGGCCTGATTCTCAACTATCCCCTCCATTTCCTTTCATTTAAATTGTTGGTTCTTGTCATAGATAACCTCATCATGGAAACTCGACCCACATTATCCAACACAAAAGAAAATTGTGATATATTCCTCATAGGAAACTAAAACAATAACGTTACGCCCTTCTTTTGCTTCATTTTTGACCCATTTTGCATTCATTTGAGATATTTGCAAAAGACAATAAATAAAAGATAACAAAAGTACAGGTACAAAGAAACCACTCACATTCCCTTTATCAAAGTCCCCTCCTTGAATCATGAAATCCTTAATTACACGATGGAACGTGGAATTTTTATAGCCGAAGCCCTTGTCCCCTTATCAAGATATGAAATGAAAGTAAAGCTTTATCAACCAATCAAAAAAAAAAAAATTGATGTGAACAATTAACACAGAGATTAAATAATATAAGAACCTGTACATAAAGCCCGGAAGTTCTCCGCTGTTTGAGGCACATCATCACCAAACAATCCTATGACAATCCTACCAGCTAGCTTCCCCACAGGATTGCCAATGCTGATATCCAAGTACACTTTGTGGGTTACTTTTGATTGCAAATCCACTTCCTGAAACGGAAGTATAAAGTCAAACTATATTTTCCGGCTCTCCTTCAACTTCAATAGGCTTTCCATCACATCTTTCCAAAGCATAACTTAGAAAACTTAATACTATGAAATTCAAAGGAATTGATAAATTTATTCTAAAATCAGCATGCGCTGACTTCATATCAGTGTTTTTAGTACGGAAACAAATTTTATACATTTGGTTACTGAAAAAACTCAAAAAAATACAACCTAGCTGATTCGTTAAATCCAACACTCCCTGAACCAAGTCAATAATAAATATTTTCATGATTAAAACCATAACAAATCACAAAAGATATCGAGAAACGTTTCCTTTTAATTATTTGCAAGCAAGCCACACTCAACAAAAATTTTAAAACTAGAGAAAGAAAATTAACAAAAAAAAAAAAGAGAAGATAAAGGCTCCGAACCCCAGTACTAGCCCGGATCGAAGTGAGAAGACCAAATCTTCTCTTAGAAGAAGAATTGAGCGGGACCGTCCACCGCGAACCACAGAGTGGGCTAGAAGATGAACTGTTCGATTCAAATGAAATTCTCCTGTCAAATTTGACTGCATTGCACGTAGGAACAAAAATCTTGTTCTGCGATATGCTTCTTGGAGCTGAGAGCGACCCGGCATTTGACTGCGATAAAGGCAAAAGAGATTGAAGTAAATGAGAAGTAGCCCAAGTTTAAGCGAAAACACTTTAAACAAAACAGATTAACAAGAAAAGAAAATC